CCGCAAATGAAGTACGAATTAGCATATACAGGTTAAAATGCATAATTTCTTGTCATATCAGCACAAATGCACATAAAATACGTATTTGCACTGTCACAGCAAAAGATTGCCGCACGTATCGCTTATAAAAGGTGAATGCGTACTTGCGTACCAGTTATATGCACCCCTGATTATAACAAATATTGTATCAGAAATTCGGATCGGTGCCGATCCAGACCTATTTGACGGATCGGGTATCAGCCATGTGTGACCAATTCACATCCTATACTTACTTATTTAGTTTTTGGCAATCTCTAAAAAGAAACCTCCCATTTCGTGTTAAATCTATTTGCACAATCAATCGCACTACAGCTCTTTCCCATTTGCGGCATTGTTTGCGGCATTGATGTCGAACAATAACCTCATGCTAAATGTAAAAGCTGGTAGCTAAATAAGAGCCATTTTATAATTATGCAATTTATAATCCGATTAGTCGACTAATCTTTTTAATAGTCGAGTCGACTATCAAAATAGTCGTTAGTTGCAGCCCTATTGCCAGTATGTCAGTGTAAGCATGCTCCTGAGTGCCAAATTTCTGAATGAGTCATTTCCCACGTACTCATTGTCACTGACCGATTGTTAGGTTCTTGTAATTGGAACAATTTTAGATTGCGTTATGATATGGATGATACGTAGCATGGATCTGCGCATTGATGTGACAGGTAAAAACTTCAATCGCTTTGCGGATCCTGAAAATATTAACCTATTTCAAAGATATTTTACACGTTTAATAACGAGGTCCAGTGACAACTTTTCCGCACTATTGGAAATTGCTATTGATTTGATAGCTATAAATTTTTATTTTTCTCACCCCACCCTACTGCACATGTTATTCACCCACTGTGAAATGAATGCTATCAAAGTTGTAAATATTTCTTTAATAAAGGTGTCCATTTCCTGAAAAGGTAGTGCAACTGTTACCTCTATGTTCAGGGCAAAACACTTTCAAAGTTTCTGTCATTTATTCATTCTTCTCATTCTGTTCTCCTCAGAATGGGCAGTGTGTTAGCTGCAAGTCCCCAGAATGCCCCCCCTGCTACAAGCAGCAGTGGTTCAGGGGGACTGGTGTCAGTACCTCCAGGGTTCACCATGCCCCCAGTCTCCTCCCTCTCACCCTCTGGCATTGGCAGCACAACCTCTGTCCAGCAGAGCGGCGACACTGAAGGTTCTTTACCCAACCCAGGCACCTTTGAAGAATGTCATCGCAAGTGTAAAGGTAGGATAGCTGTGTGTGTGTGGATTAAATGCTGTTTGCCTGCAAATAATGTTGTGAACAGAAGTTCATTTCAGAGTGTTTCCCAGTGCATAGTACTGTGGATTTCCGCTTCCACGGTTTCAGGGTTGGTGGTTTGACCAAAGATTGATTGACTTTGTGTATTCGGATGTGTATCTCATGTTGTGTGAATTTTCTCTGGCTAGCTTTCTCTGTTGGAAAAACATGGCTTTAGGTAAATTGGTCTTCCTGAATTTTCCTGACATTGCATCCAGTGGGTCCCCTGCCTAATGTCCTGGGTTTCCTGAGATAGGCTACATAATCACTGGACAATTGTCTGTGTAAACCATCCATCCATCGTGCAACTAATTATCCTGTTTGGGGGGTGCTGTCACCTGTCCCAGGCAGCGCAGGACACAGGGCTGGGGGCACCCTGGATGGTCTGGCAGTCTATCACAGGGCACACAAACGCTCATACACTATGGGCAATTTTGACAGGCAGATTAACCAAACTGCCTGGAAAAACAGAGTAAACCCACACAGCACCTGGAAAACATGCCAACTGAACACAGGGTTGAGGCAGGATTGAACCCCCGCCCCACCCCACACCACTGTTCTGTTTGTTATGCAGCTCGGTAATGGTTAGCTGATAATTTATAATGTTGTAATGGGATGTGTTACGGGTGTTTCAGAAATTTTCCCTTTGCAAATGGATGGAGTGAAGCTGGTGGTGAACAAGGGCTTGAGCAATCATTTCCAGGTCAGTAAAGCAGCGAGGAATGTTTTTTATTCTCAGTTTAGTAATTTGTATTATATGCTGAACTTTGTTTTTTTTTAAAGGTAAACCTTCAGATAAACATTGGGGTGATGTCAAGTAAGGCATGTAGGCATGTTATGTTGCATCCATATAGTAAGTGTATATACAGTACTACACAAAAGCCTTAGACTGCCAACAGGAGTGTACATATCAGAATTGAGTTGTGATTGGCCCTGAAATAATATAATGCTATGAAATAATGCTAAATTGTGTTTTGTTTCTGAGCACATACACATTTATTAAGAACATAAGAACTATACAAACGAGAGGAGGCCATTTGGCCCATCGAGCTCGCTTGGGGAGAACTTAACTAATAGCTCAGAGTTGTTAAAATCTTATCTAGCTCTGATTTAAAGGAACCCAAGGATTCAGCTTGCACTACGTTATTACTGAAATAGTTTTAAGCTTTGTTTTGACTAAGACTTCAGCACAGTGCTGTATATACATGTCAGTGTACTAGAGATTAATCAGTGTGAAAATGATCATGTTTATCAGTATTGTTGCGGTATTGTTAAAATGTGCTGAAAAAGTTTAGAATGTACGGATACACAAACTGAAATAATTTCTCCAAGTATTATATTGAAAACCACAAATCAGATTAGCTTTGTATAAACATTGAAATAATAGCCAATACCTTATGTAAACATTTGAAACCCATATCAGATGTGCATAAACATTAAAGATCTCCAGAGCACTGTCACTGACACAAAACAAACCCATGATGCATGCTGCGTCTGTGTGTCTGCGCCTGGGAGACTGTCGCTAACTTTGGTTGATGATAGACAATATTTAATGTGGGTTTTTCAAAGCGCAGTTATCACAGTTTTAATTAATTAAAATTTGGAATGGTAATAATGACCGTCAGGAATTTTGCCGTGGTTTACGAACCAGTAATTGTTTCATCCCTACAGTCTAGCATGATGCTAATGATGTTTACCTTTGATATCTGTGACCCAATCAGGTCTGCCACACCATTGCACTCAGCACTTTGGGAGACTCCAGCTACCGGTTTGGTGCCACCTATGTTGGGACCAAGCAGACTGGACCTGCTGAGGTTAGGCTTCACTTTCAGAATTACGTTTAACTCTGTTCACACATTTACCTTCTTCTTGTATTCCCTCTGCGAATTGCGGATGAATGTTAAAAGGATGCGAAACTTCATCATTTGAGTCATTGTCTTTGAAAATGTTGTGGATGTTTTACCTTTTTTCCCGTTAGTTCTTCCCGGTCTTGGTGGGAGACATGGACAACAGTGGAAGTCTGAATGCCCAGGTCATTCATCAGCTCACCAGCAGGATTCGTTCTAAGATGGTCTTCCAGGTGAGGAGCGACCAAATGAGTGAACAGATTTAGGATAATTGGGACGTAGTGTGCAAAATTCGTATTACTGCAATGCACCTAGAAATATTGAAATTTGAGAACAGGTGTGTAACAGGTTACGATGCTATGCTCATGATCAGAAAGTTGCCATTTCAAATCCCTGGGTCAGCAGAGTGATTTCACCATTGGGCCCTTGAGCAAGGTCCTTAACGCTAATTACTTCAGGGCCCGACTGAACTTGCTCCCTGTTGTATATCACTTTGGATAAAAGTGTCTAGCAGATATAAGTAGATGAAGAGGGGTAGCACGGTGGCATAGTGATTAATACTGTTGCTTCACTCCTCTGGGACCAGAGTTCAAGTCTGCACTCCATGTGTATAACGGTACATAGTATATTATCGAAGTGTTCAATATGCACATGAACCACGGCATTATGATATGCCTGTCATTTTCCTATATGTATTGGATCGAATATAAGATCATGTTTTCCCCCACAAAAAATACCTGTAAAAAAACTGGTTGTCTTACTTTCAAGGGATAGAATTTTATTGTTACCACACAGCAGCAGATGACGTAAATTATTTGCCTCCAGGCTAAGGGTGCTTTTCCACCACACCAGGTATTGTTCTTTTGGTACTTCAAGGTGTTGGTTTTCCACTAGTGTAAAAGCTGGTACCAGCGCTGAATGACAACACAACGTGCGGTATTTTGTAATGAATTCTAAAAATGACTGTAATACATTATAGAGCTCTACGAGTTTGCATGTTCTTCCCGTGTCGTCATGGGATGGCAGTCCAAATACAGGCTTAGTTGGAGTTGCCAAATAGGTGTGCCTGTGTGAGTGAATGGTGTGTGAGTGTGCCGTGCGATGTGTTGGTGACCCATCCTGGGTTGTTCCCTGCCTTGCAGCCGTAGCCTCCGGGATAGGCTCTGGACCTCCCGCAACCCTGGATAGGATAAGTGGTCATGGATGCATGGATGGATGGATGGATGGATGGATATGAAGACACATTTTCAGTGGGCATAAATACTGAATGACATTGTATGACCCAACTTATATCCCAACTCCTCCAGTAAAAATACCTGGACAACTGTAAAATGTTGTCAGAGTCTAGTCCTGAATTGCGCAGAAAGAGCTCTGAATTTTTGCGGTGACTTTTTTTTCTTGTTTCAGACACAACAGCAAAAGTTCATGAACTGGCAGTGTGATGCTGAGTACAAGGGAGACGATTTCACAGCTACTGTTACACTTGGGAACCCAGATGCCCTCGCAGGCTCTGGTGAGAAATACTTCAGCTGGCCAATGTCCTGCCCTGGAACCCATCTCACTGCTGTCTGCTCTGTCTCTCTTCTCTCCATTCTGCGCACTATTCAGGCTTTCTGTAATTCGGAGGCTGTGAGGACACCATAGCTATGTGACTGTGATTAAGGGCACAGATCAGATTCTGCCCTTTTTCCATGTTAAAGTTTCTGTACTTGTTACTTAATATTGTTGTCAGCTGCCTCAGCTGAGTCATTCCTTAGGACTCCTAGTAAATACAAAACCATGACTATTTATAGCTTTACCATTATGGTGATGTTTTATGATGGGATTGACAAAAAAATTCTGGTATTTGCTTTGACAGTCAACTTCCTTTAAGGCATAAATAACATTATTTAGATTAAAATCAAGCTAAACTTCAAAACATCCTTGAATTAAAAGTATGATGTCATTGTACTGTCTATATTGTTTATTAAAGTGTTACTCTTGGTTACCATAAATGGAAAATTGGGGTGGTTGAAATTTGTTGGGGATTTAATCAGAATAAAGTTGAATAATAGGATTATATGCGGATACATATTTCCTTAGGTATATAAGCAAAAAAACAGGATTAGCTTGGGAAGGTTGACAGAATTCACATGAAAAATAAAAATAAATAGCTAGACATAAGCTCCAGAAGTTTGGGGAAAATGTGGGATTGTCTGTTGGGTTGTTTGTGTGATCACTAAAGTAATAAACAGATACTCAAAATAACACTCAATTTAATTCTGCCTTTAGCAATAGAAACATAATAAAACAGCAGTATGAAAGGTTACTCCTATTTGTTTGTGTGATGTCGTGGTGGGGACCATTTTTTTTCAGTTCTCTCAAGGGGAAACTCAGTTTTATAAAAATCTGTGAATGCAGTAAAAACCAAAAGTCTTGTATTTTGTTTGACTACTTATGTTTTAGGTTAGGTCGGGGTTAAGGTTATCATTTTTATAAATTTGAGTTTTACACATAGAAATGAATGGATGGTCCCCACGAAGATAAGAATACAAACATGTCTTAGTGTGTGTATTTATGGAAAATTGTGTATATACACACACCGTTTTTTTTTTTTTTGTGCTCCCCAGGGATATTGGTTACACATTACCTCCAGTCCATCACCCCGTCCCTGGCTCTGGGTGGAGAGCTGGTCTATCACAGGAGGCCAGGAGAAGAGGGCGCGGTGCTGTCCCTGGCAGGAAGGTACACAGGTGAGGCCGAATGACTCCCACCTGTTATGACTGCACTCGAAAAGCACATGAGTGCCTACAAGGATCACAGGTCAGTTTTTTTTTTTTTTGGGGGGGGGGGGGGGGGGGGATTCCATAAGCAAGCTGCCAGACAGCTTGATTCACTTATGAATTGATCAGAGGATGACAGTGGAGCTTCTTGGGGACTGCCCAGGAGCTGTGCTCTGTAAGCAAGGTGCTGAAGAGCATGATTCTAGGACTTCGATTATATCAATAGAGTAATCTACCAATTAATCTGACGATCTGTAGAATCATACAATACGATTCGCATTGCACTCACCTAAAGGATTATTAGGAACACCTGTTCAATTTCTCATTAATGCAATTATCTAATCAACCAATCACATGGTAGTTGCTTCAATGCATTTAGGGGTGTGGTCCTGGTCAAGACAATCTCCTGAACTCCAAACTGAATGTCAGAATGGGAAAGAAAGG